GAGGTCTCCTTTGGACATGGCCAAACTACCTCAACTGATGTTGGATAAGATTTTCTTTAATTGGTGCTACCTCTAGACGATCACGTATATTATCGTTCCGAACTCGGTTCATTCTTGTGTGACCGTAAATCCATCGCAACATACACATTTCTGCAACACTCAGTTATTGAACATGTTGAATCTTTGTAGGCCAACATTCTGCTTCATACAACATAGCCGGTCTAATCACCGTTCTATAGAACTTGCCTTTTAACTTTTGTGGTACCCTCTTGTCATAGAGAATGCCAGAAGCTTGTCGCCACTTGATCCACCCTGCTTTGATTCTATGGCTAACGTCTGTATCAATATCTCCATCCCTCTGTAGCATCGATCCCAGATATTGAAAGGTATCCTTCTTAGGCACTACTTGACCTTCCAAACTCACATCTCCCTCCTCCTGTACAACTCCGCCAAAGTCGTATCTCATGTATTCGGTTTTAGTTCTGCTCAATCTAAAACCTTTAGACTCAAGGGTCTTCCGCCATAACTCTAGTTTTCTATTTACTCCCGCCTGGGTTTCATCCACTAATACTACATTATCAGGAAACAACATACACTAAGGGATATCCCCTTATATGTTCTTGGTAACCTCATCCATTACCAAGGCAAAGAGATACGGGCTTAAGGTTGACCTTTGATGAAGTCCAATTTTAATCAGGAAGTAATCTGTGTTACCATCGTTTGTTTGAACACTAGTCACAATATTGTTGTACATGTCCTTAATGAGGGTCACATGCTTTGATGGGACATTATGTTTGTCCAAAGACCACCACATAACATTTCTTGGTATCTTATCATAAGCCTTCTCCAAGTCAATGAAAACCAAGTGAAGGTCCTTCTTCTGCTCTCTAAACCATTCCATAACCTGTCTTATTAAGAAGATTGCTTCTGTGGTTGACCTTCCGGACATGAAAAAAATTGGTTTGTTGATATCTCTGTCGTTTCTCACAGGCGCTGCTCGATGACTCTCTCCCATCAACTTAATTCCCTGATAATTAGTACAACTTTGGATATCTCCCTTGTTCTTGTAGATCGGTAACAATATGCTTCTTCTCCACTTCTCTGGCATCTTGTTCGATCGAAAGATATTGTTGAACATCTTGGTTAGCCATACTATAGCTATATCCTTGAGACATCTCCACACCTTGATTGAGATACCATCAAGGCTCATCGCTTTGCCCCCTTTTATCCTTTTCAATGCTTCTCTGACATCCGATTATTGAATCATCCGCACAAAGCGCCTGTTAGTGTCATCAAACGAGTCATCCAGCTGAATGGTGGTATTCTCGTTCTCACCATTGAACAATTTATCAAAATACTCTTGCCATCTATGTCTGATCTTATCCTCCTTCACCAAGAGCTACTCTCTCTCATCCTTTATGCACTTGACTTGGTTGAAGTCCCTTATCTTCCTATCGCGAGCCCTAGTCATCATATAAATGTCCTTCTCTCATTCCTTCGAACTCAAACGTCGGTAAAGGTCTTCATAGGCCCGCCCCTTAGCCTCACTCACCGCTTGTTTTGCAGTCTTCTTTGCCACCTTGTACCTCTGTATGTTGTTTGCACACCTGTCACGATATAAGCGCTTATAGCACTCTTTTTCCTTAATAGCCTTTTGCATATCTTCATTCCACCACTAAGTGTCTTTCAAGTCGCATCCGCTCCCTTTTGTCACTCCAAGCACCTCTGAAGCAAACCTTCTGAACGCATGTTGCCATCTTCTCCCACATGTTGTTTGCATCGCCTTCATCATTTCAAGGGCCCTCTTCAATGACGTTTTCCTTAAAGACCTTTGATACATTCCCTTCTAATTTTCACCACTTCATTCTAGCAACCCTAGCTTGTTTGTTCCCACAAGCTTGCAACAGAAAACGAAAGTCAGCCACCACCGGCCTATGTTGAGCGACCACATATTCCTCATACTATAGACAAGAAGAAAATTATATTGACTGTATTATGTCATAAAAGGTGCCCAGCAAAACATCAGACTGGACAAAGAAGTCCAGCATGATCCATTACATTAGTTCAGCTTGTCAAGTGTGCTTGGTCTTGTATGGGTACCAGTTCCCGGAGCAATCATCAACCCAAGCCGCAGTTGTAGCACCGGCATCAGCTGTCCCTGCCAACTCAAAATGCAACAATTTTGGAAGAACGACTACGAAATCGGTTGCATGAATCATGAATGCAAGGTTATCTTCTTACCGTCAGTGATCTAGGCCACGCGCGCAGATGGAGGTGGTGAAGCATATCTCGGAGCAGCCGGCAGCAGCAAGGAACGTGGCGTTGCACCCTGTCGGAGACGACGGCGGTATAGGTCTCCACGCACTTGACTGTGCAGAACCACACAATGGGCGTGGGCGCGTGGCCCTCCCTGCAGCTATATGGTAGTAGACTAGTAGTCTCCGAAGCACCCACAGAAACAGAACCCTGCAGCTGCTGCAGGCCTGACATCATGATGAGCATGTAGTACAGAGTAGCAGCTGCAGCTCTCTTCCGTTCCATACTTCCAAGGTTTTTAATTTCAGTATTGCAAAAATTTCGGCCACCATCAAAATTACCGAATTTCGTAAAATTCGGCCAAAATTTCGCTGATTTTTTTAGAGACTAACACATGAAGTATGTTTTTTCTAAAAAAATTTAGATCTAAACAAATATTAGTATGATTTATGACTACACATCTATTGAATAGAAAAATATATAATATAAACAATAGAAAATGTGAGTCTATAGCACATGTATTAGTGTATTACAAAACTTCGGATTTTCTTTCGGCCACCACCGAAATTACCGAATTTCGCGAAATTCAGCCAAAATTTCGCCAAAATTTTGGACCCTACATCCTTCTCATCATCCCTCTCCCTGCAGTAGCTAGAGTAGAGCCAGTCAGCCAGAGAAAGTTCAAAAGGACCATTCGTTTTCATGCTTTTGCAACAGCATGAAAGTGTTGCAGAGATGGGTGAAGATGAAAACAAATGCAGGGGGAGTTGAAGCAGTGAGATGCTTACCAGTTACCAGAGTGTTTCTTCAGCAGACTTGAGAGGGTTCTGTCTACTGCTCACTTCATGTGATGGCATCATGTCATCCATTTATTTTCTAGATAAAGGAATTTTTATTCCAGCCTATGCAAGAGTTTTGCACTCAACCATTCATTATTACAACATTTCAGCCATTGGCTGATGTAGAAAAGCTCACAAAAAGCATCAAAAGTACGGGAGACTGTATAAATAAATTAAGCTCTAAGCCTGTTAGAAAGCAACCATTCATTCTTGGCGAAAATTTCCATTGCTACAATCTCCATTACTCGGCATGCCCTTTTCAAATTTGGTTGGTCGGCCTCCTTTTGAAGTGTGGACCAGAACCGCGTCCAGTAAGTCGTCCTGAAAATAACCTGTAAATAAGAGTAAAATACTTTATTGTCAAATATTACATCATTTCTGGTCAACCATATAGACCAAAATATTGCGCTTGCTCCTACTCCAATATGAGGTCGCAACTTTGAGTCTACATGTTGTAACCATGTTTGGAAAAAAACTAGTCATATCTCTTGGTGGTTGTAAACCCCTATGTGAGCAATCCTCCAAATAAAGTGTGCTACATGGCACTCAAAAAATAAATGTTTGATGGTTTCTTTGTTGTTACAAAAACAACACTTTTCATCACCCTTCCAATTTCATTTTAAAAGATTGTCTTTCGTTAAAATCACCCCTTTTATTAAGAACGAAACAAAAATTTTGACTTGTAGGGGTACCTTGAGCTTCCAAAGGGCTTTAATATGCTGGAGCCAAGGCTTGAGTCTCGCTGGTGTACATTCTTGCAGAAGCTTACGAGAGATTGTTATTTGCTATGTTAGACGAAATGTGTTAGAATAAACCACGTCATGTCCGTGCATGGCGTGTGTGCGTGTGTCAGGTTGAGTGGTCGATGGCGCGCGTGTTCGAGCTCGCATGGAGTCCATTGACGGGTCGAGTTCGTCGTGTGCACGACGTGTTATGCGTAGAGTCCAGGCAAGTGCGCGTGTTCCACCTGGTCTCCTGCATGTGTGCATGCGTTCTATTTTTAGTCATTTGTTAGCTGAGTACTCAAGGTGGTGACCAAGTCTTTAGAAGCTAGCGTTGAAGGCATGCAGTGGAAGAGCGAGCGCCGGCAGGAGAGGTCTGAGCGGTTCATGCGGATCGTGCCCGTCCGTCGTGCACGCGAGTTCGTGGCTCTTTCATGAGCTAAGGCCGTGGGCTATATTAAAGCCAATGTAATGTGTCAGCTCAACTTGTTCCGAGTTGTGTTTTGATTAATAATAGAAGCCAAGATACAGGCGTTTGGCGCCACGGTGTTCGTCACCGGCATATCTATCTTGCCTACTATTCATCTTCCAGCTCCGTCCGACGTGAGCTAGAGTGACTCGGTTCCAACAATTGGTACCCTGTTCACTTTGCCAGACGAAAAATGTCTCGTTTCTGTTTCACAAATAGACATGGAGGAGTACCGCACAAGTATCACTGCCAGGTTCAGGCTAATTTCAGCTTGCGGAGCAAAATAAACATTTGTAGTTGTTGGCAGCATGCATCTCACTGTGTCCAGCCAACATCCAAATGTCATATCAGAAGGATTCCAAGTGCCAATCCAGGAAAATCTAGGCGACAGCAATGGGTCGACACATTATTAGAAGCATGCATTTTGATTGGAAACGCACAGAAGGACATTGCTTGGTTAAGTGTCTGAACCTACTAAAATGTTGCCTGGTAAGAGCAAGACAGCTGTTGCTTGCAACACTCTGATCTGAGTCATTTCAGATGTCCAGCTGTGGAGTTAGTCTGAAAGAGGAGAATACTTATTAGGATTAAACCTCTGTATGTGTATGGTTTCTGAACTAGTGTTATATGTTCGCTGCGGCACTGCCTCACAATTGCAGGATACAAACACATACAGAGGTTTAATCCTTAAGTGTCCTAAGAGTACCTTTTGGATCATAATTTATTACACGAGAAGAACCTGAACCTAAACGGATAGCCTCTCAACAGCGGTTGCTGTACTTCCTTCAAGTTTGGGCAGTTTTGAATGTCCACTTTTGGTATGTGTGCAATCACTTCTTGTCCACCAATTGATACAACGTCTTCACAGTGCTTAATAGTTAATTTCTGGAGTGATTTGAGATTACTGCTCCACAAGTCACGTGGAATGTACTCTATGTGTTTGCATACTGTCATCACCAGTGAATTGAGGGATGTGAGGTTCTCCAGACACCTCACAGAAAAATAACCACGATCCCATAAGTGGAGGCTTTGGAGGGATGATGGTAACACTATTCCATTTTCCCATTTGAGACGTGGACAAAGCATAATGGACAAGCTCTTCAGAATAGGCCAACCCCCATTAAGTGTCTCTAGCTCTCTGCATTCTCCAATGGTTAGTTCAGTGAGCAGTGGGAGCTTTTCTCTATTGAATGTTAGAGATGCCAGATGGTAGTTTGATAAATTAATGGTGGTCAGGGAACGGCAATCAATATCATTTTCAAGATTCCCAGGATCTTCCAAAGAAAGCTTCTTTAGGGACGGGGCCAATAGACATTGTGAGTTGATCTTTGGACAATTGGTCACCTTCAGTTCTTCAAGGGAAGGCAAACCCCCAAACCTTTCTACTGGTATAGATTCCAAACTTGTGCACTCTTTAATCATCATTATCTTGATGGCAGGCATATAAGCTGGCTGTAGAAACTGTTCAAGGCTTGATAACTTCGGGCAGCCTATAACCATTATCTCTGTTAATGATGAGAAAATGGTAGGGTCATAAGAACCATGACACCAGCTTGGAAGGTATTCACCTGGATAACAATTGAGGCGCCCATATTTGATATTGGTGGGAGGGTGTAATGCTTCAAACACTTCTATCTCATCGTTGTGGACTGGTTCCGGCAATTGAAATATGTCTTTAGACCATGTCAGAGACAGACAAAAAATATCCTTCTTCGTAAGTTCAATTTCTGCTGCCTGATCCTTGCTTATTTCACAAAGATTAATTATAAACAAATCTCTAGTGATTAGATTAAGTTTCTTTAGGAACCTAATTCCATCTCCATTCTCCATTCTCCATTGCAGCATCAATGTTAAGAGATCGTGATTCAAACTTTTGTAGATCAGATTACTAAAGCCCCTGGGTACTTTGTCAAATATGCATTTTCTAGCACATAATAGCTGTAGATTATACAAGCAACAAAATGTTGCAGGAAGGCGATTGAAGCGGCAAGAATCCAAGATTTTCAGGAACCAAGATTCTTCATGTTGCTAATACTTTTTTTCTGCCTTTTAATTAAGATAGGGAAAGAAAGTTTATGTACAAATAATGACAAACGAGATTATGGTCCCCCCATAAGCATGTGAGCTAAACGTAATCAAATGCTCTCTTCCTTTGGTCAATGTCTTCCTTTATCCTTGTGGCTACTTATGCACTGTTTCTATCATGTTGTCGAAAATTCTCCTATTTCTCTCTTTCCATATATTCCAAAATGTGTAGATTACTACCCCGTTAAGCCTCCTACGCTCAGATGTTGGCACTTTCGCTGTCGCGTCTTCCCACCATGTCTTGATATGGGTGGGGTCTACCTGGTGCTGTTGTTGGATTTGAGTGAAATTTTTCCACGAGAGGATTTGATCACAAACCGCCTTAGCAAAAGGGCAACAAAGGCATAGGTGGAGGCCTGTCTCTAAGGGACTGTTGCACAGCACGCATTATTGTTGGTGTGGCCACCCTCTCTTTTGTAGGTTTTGTGCCGTTAGAATTTTATCTTGCACTAAGATCTAGGCGAAGATCTTGCATCTGTTCTCCACATGCGCTTTCCAAATCAAGTCCGTACGGAAGGGGAGGAGCGAACCTCTGAATTGGATTCTGTAGGCCGAGCGGGTGGAGTAATTCCCATCATTGGTCCAACGCCAGGTGATGGTGTCCTGGACGCCCTGTTGTAGGTGCACATCCTGTATTCGTATCCAGAGGGACACAAACTCCTCTATGTGGATAGCCGAGGTGATTTTCCTTCCTAGTTTATGCATCCAATTGTTGTTCCGGAGCTCTTGTTGCACCGTTCGGTTTGTCCTTGAGACTAGGCGGAACAAGTTCGGGGCTAGGTACCTAGGAGCTTGTCCATCGAGCCAACTGTGGTGCCAAAACTTAGTCTTTGCACCATTCCCCAAAGATATAATGATTGAGGAGTTGAAGAGGAGGCGGTCATCATCAGAACATGGAAGCTCCGAGCCGCTCGAAGACTTGGACTCGTCCACCCATTCTTGCCAAAGCCATCGCAACCGGAGGGCTCGCCCAAATCTCTCCAGGTCAGGGACACCTAAACCGCCAAGGTCCTTTGGTCTAGTAACCGTTCGCCAGTTAACTAGGCAATGGCCGCCATTAGCATTCTCCTCCCCTTTCCACAAGAAAGATCTTCTGATTTTGTTGATCTTTTTCTTAGCCCAAGCGGCCGAGAAAACACTGTGAGGTGGTAGGTTGGCATGGAGGAGAGGACAGAGGTTACAAGAGTGAGGCGTCCCGCTCTGTTTAGCCATCTTCTTTTCCATTTGGGTAGCCTGTGCCCAATACGGTCTATGAGAGGTTATACATGGATCCTTTGCAGTGATCTAATGTGGAGTTGCAGCCCAAGTATTTGCATGGGAAGCTCCCTCTAGTACCGTGAAAGGTGATAGGACTTGGTCTAGGTCGACGTTTGCACAACCGATTGGATATACTGAGCTCTTTTGTAGATTAATATGGAGTCCCGAGAATGTGCCAAAAGCCTGCAGGATGATTTTGACGGCTTCTACATCATCTTTTGTGGGGCTGATGAAAATGGCCGCATCATCTGCATACATCGAGGTTCTCCATTTTGCCGCCGTGATTGGTAAGGGGTTGAGTATCCCCTGTTGGGTTGCTAGGTTAAGCAAACGTTGAAGCGGGTCCATCGCTAGGATGAATAGCATGGGTGAAAGCGGATCTCTGGCGGACGCCTCGCATGGCTAAAAGTGGCCTCGTCGCCCATTCAACATGGGTGTCGAGGTGGATGTACGTGGGAGGATGGAGATCCACTCACGCCATCGCTGTCCAAACCTGTATTCTGAGAGTCTCAAGCAAGTACCCCAATGTACCGTATCAAAGGCTTTGTGGATGTCCAGTTTCATGAACAAAGCCGTAATCTTATGCTTGTGTAGTCTTTGTACCGCTACTCGGACGCATGTGAAATTATCATGAATGCTTCGCTTTTTTATAAATGCGCCCGCAGCTCGAGACGAGGGAGTTGAGTCGAGGGCAAGTCTGTTAGCTAACACTTTTGAGAAGATCTTTGCAATGCCATGGACTAGGCTGATGGGTCTAAAATCAGTAACTCTTGTTGCATCGGCTTTTTGGGTAGAAGGATAATGGATGTCGAGTTTAGCCATTCGAAGCCCTGGGCATTCAATGTGAATAAGTTGTTCATGGCTGCCATAACATCATCTTTAATGGTTTCCCAACAAGCTTTGAAGAAGGCACCTGTGAAGCCATCCGGTCCTGGCGCTTTGTTGGAAGGCATGGAATATATATTGTTTTTTATCTCTTCTTGGGAGAAAGGCACCTACAGATCGGAGAGATCATGTTGATTGTAGCCAAGGGATTGCCAGTTGATTGTGGAAGCTCTCGGCACCACGGAGCCAATGTAGTTTCTAAAATAATCTTGTATCACCTTTTCTTTATCTTGCTGTGCCACCACGATTCCCCCATCCGTATGTAGACAATGTATGTAATTCTTTCTCCGTCGTGCATTGGCTCTAGTGTGGAAAAATTTTGTGTTAGCATCTCCACATCGGATGTATGTTAGCCTCGATCTCTGTCTGATTCTTGATTTTTCAATAGCAGCGAGGCCAGTGCTACGGGATTTGAGGCGGCGACATAGGTGAAGCTCCATGGCAGTGAGCAACCTATGCTTTTGGGCTGCTTCTAATTGTAGCAATACTTCTTTTACTATGGCGAGCTGTATCCTCGTATCCCCTATCTTGTCTTTCTTCCAACGCTTGATCGCTTTTGCCACACGCGCCATTTTGATGTGCAATCGCTTCATAGGAACAAGCAGAGGCGATCGGCCTATTCCAAGAATTATGGACAAGATCTTGAAAGCCTTCCATCTTTGTCCAAGTAATTTTCAAGCGTAAGGACGTGCTTTGATGGTGGTCAAGCTCTCCCTAGAGTAGCAGAGGGGTATGGTCCGACATGAGCGATGGGAGAGAGTGTAAGAAACACGCGGGGAAGAGCAGGTCCCATTCGGGGGTACATAGCAGTCTGTTAATTCTAGTGAGCGTCGGGTTGTCCTGCTGATTGCTCCAAGTGAAGTGGCGCCCATTTAGCTTGATTTCTTTGAGCCTCAAATGATCGATCGCTTCTCTAAATGCCTCCATGAGGCGCTGGTTTAGGTTGGAGTTGTTCTTGTCTTCCTCTCGGTAGATGAGATTGAAATCTCCTAAAATGAGCCATCTATTGTGGATCGGTGGGGAATGTTCTTCAATTCTTGGAGGAATTGAAGTTTGGCTGCCTCTCTCTCAAGCGGGTCAGATACCACCGTAATTTGCCACCTTGTTCCATCAGCCCTCATGTTGATCTGCGGGTTATGGCGCTCGACGTAAGTACAATGTCGGAGAGGTCAAGTAGTCTTCATTCACCGCAAGGAAGACGCCTCGAGTCTGTTCCTACCAGTAGTACAAGATAGGAGTTTACAAATTTCGGTCCGACTGTTCGGCGCACCATATTATGATCCATAACTTGCATCTTTGTTTCTTGTAGACATACGATGGTGGCAGCAGTGGTTCTCACTAACTCGCACACCGAGTCCTGTCGTGCTTCGTCATTCAAGCCCCTGACGTTCCAGTTAAGTATCTGGCAAATCAACTGTGGCAAATCAACTGTGCCATAAGGAAACCAATTGTGCCCTTTTTAATAATAATCTGAGGAGGAAGGCAAGCAGGACGCCATGTTGCTAATACTATCTGGCAAGCCCCACAACTCAGAGATAGAGGCACGGACCATGACACGCATGCACAAAAGTTCAGTACACCATTTCTGCATCACTTCATTGCCAGCTGTACTGTTTAAAGACATGTCACAAAGTAGAGTACGCAACTTTGTTTGCTTGCATAGAATCTCTAATTCAGAACACTTAAAGTATCTGCTTTTGAGCACCGATAGATGACGGACATTATGAGGAATCCTTTCAAGATCCTTTTTCTCTTTTATTATGAAGCACTCATCCTTTGAAACTAGTTGTGCCATGTCATGCATCAGATCATGTATTACATATTTCCCACGAAGTTTCTGAAAAAATGACAGATATGCAAGTTCTTCAAAGTACTCGCAGCCAGTTTGTTGAAGTGAAGTGTTAAACCGAGGTTCCACAAAGCCTTCTGCCACCCAAATTTCAGCTAAATCTTCCTTTACAAAATTGTAATCTTTCGGGTACACGGAACAGAATGAGAAGCATCTCTTTAAATGGAATGGTAAATACATGTAGCTCAATCGAAGTGCTGGCAAAATGTCAGTCTCTTCTTACCTAAGCTCCCACAGCTGACTGCAAAGAATCATATTCCAATGTGCTGGGTCAAGGCTCCTTCCTAGCAGCCGTCCAAGGGTTTTTGCAGCTAAAGGAGAGCCTTTCAACTTTGGGAGTATTTGCTCACCAATCCATTCCAACTCATGATTATTATTGGAGCTACTAGACCCAAACACACATAGTTTGAAGAAATTCTGAAATACATCATCCTTCAAACCCTCTAATACAAAAGGATCCGCCGTCCGCACTATATCAGCAACCTTTTGAGACCTAGTTGTGACAAGCATCATGCTTCCCTCAAGTACATGTTTAAAGGTGCATAGAACGTCTTCCAGAGCTCCACATTTTGAGCCCACATGTCATTGAGAACAACTAAGAATCTTCTCTTGTTGAGGCTATTTGCAAGATCATTCTGAAGAGATTTCAAATTATCTGTAGTCGGCGCTTTCCTACAAAATTGTTCTATGTCCTCTTTTGTTAACCTCTTGACATCGAAGTCATCTGAGACACAAATCCAAACTATAACATCAAAGTGTTTTTTCACTT